AGCTACAAATCATGCTTCTTTCCTACCAAAAATAATTTGATAGACATCTATCACAAATTGATTGCTTATAATTGCTGTGGGCTCAATTGCCCTTAGTTCTTGTGCCTCTTTTTGTTAGGTAAATTTTATATTTATTGCTCATCATATTATTAACCCCTTTGTTTACAGTCAGGAAGTTAAAGTTCAGTGAAATCACATGTTAGAATTTTTTTTACATGTTCCTACATACCCCCAAAATGGAATTGATATGGTACATGATACTCAACTCTGTGCTATGGCCTCGTGTTTGTTATTGAAAGAAATTGATATGTGTTTTTATATGTGCTTTTTCTGTAGTGCAAAAATGAAACACCTGTGGGGAAGAGTAAGGAAGCTAAAAGTTGTGTGTTAAAAATACTAAGCTGCTAATAATACACATATTTATGATTTCAAAGGGTTGCTAAAAATGAATTCCCTACTGTGCAGCGACAAAAGCATTCAGCAAGGACTATTATTCTGTTACTGTCAGATTTGCATTTGACTGTTCTAAAGATTTGTTCATTTTCACTTTTTTGTATTTATTTAATGGAAACCTAACAAATGTCAATAGATTTAACAGCTTGAAATGCATGGCAAAAGGTCATTCCATGCTTGTTGACCCATCTTACCTCATTGTATTCTTTAGAAATACAAATATTATGTTTTCACTCACCATTCTTTGTTGAAATTCAATGAGAGCATTTAAGTGAAGTAACAATGACAACTATATAAATTGCTTTTTAAATCCTTCATGAGGTTCACTAAAGTTCTACCACAAAGAATGTTTTTTTTAAATATACACTGAAGATTTCTTTCCTATAAGACATTGTGCTTTTGAGTGCTAATGAAGATCAAATTTCTTGACTGCATGTTATTGCAACATGAAGTTTGACATACCTCATGATCAAACTATCCTATCACTAACCTTTTTTTTCATAGACTTCATAAACAAATCAGTAAGTCTATATATTGCTTTACTACCTATACGAATTGGTTTTCTAATGCTTCCATAAAAATTACTACAAAAACTTGTAAACAATACCTGTTTATTATCTCCCAGTTCCGTGTGTCAGGGATCTGGACACTGTGGGCCTCTGTGCAGGATGCTCTGTTGACATCCTCACTGGATGGGGTTAGTATTAGCTGGGCCAGGCTCTTACCCGGAGACTGGTTGCCAGAATCCAGGGCCTTTGCACTTGTAGAATCTAGGCCTCAGTTTCCCTGCCTCTGTCAGCCAGGACCAGTCTTTGACCCTAAAAGCTTTCCCCGTATCTTCTCCTGTTTCCCTTATGTTAGACCCTCCCCTGCTTCACACCTCCTAGGCTTCTCCCTCAGCAGCAGCGCTCTGATGCTGGTTGGAGAAATGTCTCTGCTCTCCATGCTGATGTGATTAGATTGGGCCCACGGGGGTAAATCCGGGATAATAACTGTATTGTAAGATCTATAGCCTTTGTTTGTTACATTTGCAGTGTCCATTTTGCCATATACTGTTGCACATTCACATATTCCAGAGATTAGACTATGGATATCTTTGTATATCCTCCTATACTATGTTTTAATATTGTATTTCTCCCTACTTTGTGCAAGGAAATTTTCCCATGCATGAAGGCAAACAACATTTGGGGGGGTGTGGGGGGCAGCCGGAGAGAATGGAGCCTTGATAAATATATTTCATCTTAAAATGTAAATGTGTCTTTTGTATTTGGATTTTAATTATAAATTGATTAAGATCAAAAGTCATGCATGAATGCTTGAAGTGCAAAATCTGTAAATTGTTGATTGGTTCGGGTCTTTTCATAAACCTGACATTCTCACTGATTATTTTTTTAATTCAAAGGCTCTCACTAACAAACACAGCCCACAAATTACCTTCCGCCTGTTATTAGGCTTCTGCATTCCTGTTGCATCAACTTGATCAACCTTGTTTGCATACTGTTGAAATTTGCCCCTTTGAGCCATGGAACCCATCTTCTGAATTCCCTAAGGCCATCTTTCACTGTCATTTGTACAGACTCCAGATATGTCTCAATAAGTTGTGAAGAATTTAAGGGCAAAAAATGTTCCATCTGTTTTTTCAGTTAAAATTAATTTTGTATATGCATATATCAAGAAATTTAGGTGAGAAATGAATCTGCTAATCATTTGTTAAAAACTCTACTTTAAAAAATCATGTTTAAAAGCTCCTCTATATGAAGTATTTTTTTTCTACTTTTTCAATTTAGGGATTTTATTATTGTTGGTTACTACTTATTAACTTCAAATCAATTCTGATTATATTTTATTTTCACTAATCATTGTGGAAATTACAATTTAAATGTCATAGCACCTATTTGGTTGTTAACTATGTATAAAATTTAATTATGTACATTTTCTTTTCAAAATGAACTTCAGATTGTGGTAAATTGAATATTTTGGTTTAAGTGTGAGTATATTTTTAGGGAAATTGTAACTATGTGATTAATTTAGTAGATCATATATATATATATTCACCATAGAAAGCATTGAGTTTTAAGATTATGCAACTTCAATTATACTTGTACACATACATTTATCTGAAAGTAATGACCCTATTAGGATCTGCCTAGCTTAGCTATATATCTTTTGGGTTGTAAATATATCCTTAATGCCTATGATATTGAAACTCAAGGGAAAATATTATCAGTTTTCCTGTTCCGAAATATTGTATTTGAAGGACAAAAGACAGGAAAAGATTTTTCTTATCATGCAATTTATCTCTTCTCTAGGGCCACGTGCTAGTACACTTCTGTCTCTGATCCTCTCAAATGTGCCACAGTATCACCAAGGGATAATTTTTTTTAAAAAGGAAATAGAAAATCAGGGCTATAGTCACGGATATGGCTACTTGTCCAAAAAGGAAGGTTGGGTGGGGTGAGGTGGGAGAGTAGCACACTGCACTGTCAGTGCTGACACAGGTTTCAAAATACTGTCCGTTTGAAAAGAACTTCAAGTATTTCTCCTCCAACCCCGAATTACCATACCTTTATTGGTTTTCCAGCATGAAACAATACCATTTTAGTGTGTAACTTGCAGAAATCCAGTCTGTCTATACTTAGATCTTGCTGTGACATATCAGAAACTAAATGAGGTAAATTTATACACCACGTCCCTCCATCCCTTGGAAAATTCAGTGTCTTCTGCCTCCTTCACCTTAGTAATTAAGGACAGAAGCTAATCAAAATGTCTTACAGTTTGACTTAGCTGGAAATTACATTTAACTATGTGTGTTACTTGAAAGAGACCTAGAGCTTGGTACCGACGAGGTCTCGCACCGGTTTTCAGCTAACTTATTAGCCGAAATGGCACACACTGGGTTGTAAACCAGCAGCTTTGTAGGGTAATTAAGAGTGTCAACTATTATGGTATTCTTACCTGGGCTATGGCATTCTACTTTTTGCTAAGTAGAATTAAAATGCAGGTTTCTCTGAATAATTTCACCTGGATTAGACAATTAGAGATCATTTACTCAGTAGACTCTCACCTCATGCTTAGCTGGGGTTCGTTTTCCCAGCCTCTTGGACATCACAGTGAGCTGAGCTGTGCCAGGCATGCTCTGGGTAGAGAGGCAAATCACTTTAGAAACACGTGCTCCTTCCCTGCATATAACCAGGTTTTTAAAGTGGCAAAAATAAGATTTCTTATTAGGAATTTGCTTCGTTAGGAACTATCAGACACACATTGATCCTGTAAGCACGGAGTGCTGAGTACTTCAGCTGCATCCCCCGAAAGCAAGAGTTGTCCCATTTAATCTTCCCTAGTTATGCTTTTGTTAGTCATCTGCGAGGAAATGGGAGTCATGAATCTTCCATGTCCTTCCCTCCCGACCGCCAAGCCAGAGAGAAGTGGAAAAATGTTTTCTCTAGACACTGATACGAGAAAATATTAAAAAGGAGAAGCAAAATAAAGCCAAGAGGATAAACATCAGAAGCTTGCTTAAACAGCATTGGCCTCCTTATAATTGCTTTTCTGTCAGCGGGATTATTAACAAATTTGGACATCTGAAAATTAAATTAACAGCCTGAAAATATTTTACAGGATGAGATAGAGCATGATACATGGAACATAATAACCCCCCTGAAATCCAGCCAAGCCAGGGCCGCTCCTCATTTAGACAGAGGAGACAACTAGTTAATCATCACTGAGCAAATTAGACAGAGCAAATTGGTTTGCTGCATTCCACAGTCTTAGCTACCAAGAGAGAGTATATGCCACTAATTAGAATGAAAGAGCTCTAAGCATAGTATTATCCATATAGAAAGAGAAGGCAAAATTATAGTGTGAGCTGCTGCTTTCAAAGCTTGAGGCCCAGATTCCCTAAGTATAAAGTACACGTGCAAGAGTATATATGTGTTTTCACACACATTTTGGAATACCAGCAGCTTTAGCATTTTCTTGCCCTTGACCAAAGAAAGTGTAAAAATTTTTTTGCCAAGGTTAATTGGAATTCTTTGGGAATACAGACACACACCCATGAAACATAAAAACATTTTTTTTTTTAAAGTGGGATCACTTTCATTGAAGATTAAAGTAGCCATTTCATATATTTTTTCTTGCACGATATTAACGTAATTTTTTTTCTTTTATAAGCGTATTGCTGTTGCTTGGGAAATAAATATTTGGACTTCGTTTATCACTGGAGATTAATCTGAAATCATATTTTGTAGCCTTAATTAGCATTCACTTGCTTAATTGTCATCCTCAGCCCCTGCATTTCCATTTTTTCACCAACTTGAACAATGCTATCTTCTGCTGTTTGCACTTTAATTTAAGCTCCTATTAAGGTTTATGAACGGTAATAAGGTCCTGTTTGAATATTCATTACCTTCTGAATTGTGAGCTATGAAAAGGTGCTTTCTTTTTACCTTAATGAAACTGGCACAGCACGGAGCTGATCAGTGGTGACATCTGATGCGAGGCATCCAGTGCATTTCCTCACTGTTTATTGACACATCTTGTCCAAACAGCTCCCTCGCAGGTGAGCGGAGTCATGAAGGAGCGGGTGCTACAGCGGAGCGTGGAGCTTTCCTGGCAGGAGCCAGAGCATCCCAACGGAGTCATCACCGAGTACGAAATCAAGTATTACGAGAAAGTAAGTACCAGGCGCAGGAAACGCACCGCGGCACGTGTCTCCTGTCCGCCTGCCGCACTGCACACTGAAGCTGGTCCTTCTGCCAACTCTTCGGAGGTTCTTCAGGACTCTTAGTTAATTTTAGCCGGTTTCGATCATTACCTCCTGGAGACGGATTCATTATTGTAATTTCTGTATTATTCAACTTCTGCGACACAACTGAAAATATTCCTCTAGGAATATATTTGCTTATTCACAGTGTGAAGTCATGATAATTAGGTGGAGCATGTTTTAGTGCCACCCAAACCACACAGCCCAATGCATTTTTTGAAAAATGTTTTTATTTCAGGATGTCTGCTTGGACCTTGAATGATTTATTTTATGTGTGTGGTTTCAGTGATAGGATGACGGCCTAAAATTATTTAGTAATTTGAAAATTAAAGATATTTTGGCAATAACTTTGCAGAATTCTCTAAACTTTAGAATTGGTTGATGATAGTCTATTCTTTAAATTCCATGTGAAATTTAATTCATCTATGTTATGCTGATCACATCCAAGACCACTTCTTTATGCGCCTTTCTCCATGAAAAATTGCATGGGAAAAACCCAAGTGTTGCCTCTATATCTCCATATTTGCTACATTTTAATAAATAGTGACATGCCTGAGCATATGAGTGCATTTATTTCTGACCTATCTGGAGAGACTGGGAGCATGGTGCCCTTAGTCACAAATTGGTATGTAGGCTCGACCCCACAGAAGGACCTGGTTTGAAATTTGAAACATGGAAACTATTGTTATTACTAGTAGTAATAGTAATAGTATGTGTTACTATTATTGACTTAAGTGAGTTAGCTGAAGTGTTGTAATATAGATATAACTATTTTAACCATTTATTTATTTACTTTTTAATATAGTGTTGTTGATTTCAGGGAGGAAGGGAGAGGGAGGGAGGGATAGAAACATCAAAGAGAATCACTGATACGCTGCCTCCTGCACACTCCCCACTGGGGACCAAATCCACAACCCGGGCACATGCCCTTGAATTATACCAGGGACCCTTTAGTCCAACAGGTCGATGCTCTATCCACCGAGCCAAACCAACCAGGGCTATTTTAACCAGTTAGACAGCTCTTAAAAATAGAAACTTAAAGATTTGGAAAAACTTGGAAGCTGATCTACTTGAATAAATACTTAATGTACACCAGTGCATGGCAATAGATAATATTTTTTCTTTTGACGCAAAAACATATAGTTTAAGATTAGTTTCAGTGTTCAGATTAAGATTACAATATTTTGACTTATTGTTTCCTTTATAAATTACTGACTCCACTGCCAAAGTTACATTTTAAATACCTCACTTTGTTCCAGGGAAAAATTTTTATCCCATCAAAAATGTGTTTCTGAGGGAACCCTTCTTTTTAATGTTGGTTTTTATGTATGTTTTCCAATGAGCTCTAACAGTTATAATCCCTTCTGAAATTACATCAGATTTCAAAAGCAATAAAATACATTTTTTAAATGTAAGTTATTATACAAGGTAAACGAGAGTAAAGTTTCTCACAGTGAAACAAGATATTTTGCAAATCCTTACTCAAATAGTTCCTTTTCTTTCTATTTTTGCATGACAGAAAGAAAATGTATGTATATTCTCTGAATTTACAAACTAGGGAATAACTGCATTGCACTATAGAGTATATAAACACATGATATATACATATCTGTTATATACATATACACACATCTATATATATCATTATGTCATCTAATATTAATTATTCCTTGTTTTGTTTTAGATAAATGCATATTTATAATACCAACTATCATTTTTATGAATGATTATAATGAAAACAATCACAAATCCGTTTCACTATAAATCACAAGTATAGTTTGGATATACAGTTATTTACACTTTTGTAAATATCAATGTGAAGAAAAATCAAACAACCAGACTGACATTTTCAAATTTCAATGAGAGTTTTATTGACAGTCACAGTTCAGCGCAGGAATTTACTATAGAATAAATAATAAATTCTCTAAAATTGTGTATTTGAATGAACAGTTTTTATTACTTTTTTCATAAATAGCCTGTTAGAGGCATATTAATTAAGTTTTAAATTTGTATTCATTTGCACATTGTTTTGATGGAGTTTTCATATTCTTGAATTTTAAATTTTATTTTATTCTTAAGTTTATCTATCTATAATAATAAAAGCATAATATGCTAATTAGACTGGACAGCTGAATGACCTTCCGGAATTCTGGGTAACCTTCTGAATGAAGCCAGGGCTGGGAGGGTCAAACCCCTTGCACAAATTTCATGCTTCGGTTCTCTAGTCATATATAATATGAAAGTCACATTTTTAAACTCCGTAAGCCTCAGTTTATATATCTGAAAAATGAGGAAATTGAACTAAATTACATTGTTTAAAATATTGTTAAGCCATCAATTATACAATATTTTGACTTTTATATAATACTTTTAATTTAAAATATTCCTTTAATTCCTATATTGTAAAACTGGTTTTATTCTGTTAAATGGAGTTTTAATTAAAACAATTGATAATGTCACTATGGTAGCAATGTTCAACCTTTTTCATCTCACGGCACACAGAAACCACTAAAATTCCGTTCGACACCAAAAAAATATATATTTTTGCTGATCTGATAAAAATTAGTATAATTTTGATCGATTTAAAAAACACACACAGCCGAGACCGGTTTGGCTCAATGGATAGAGCGTCGGCTTGGGGACTGAAAGGTCCCGGGTTCGATTCCGGTCAAGGGCATGTACATGGGTTGCGGGCACATCCCCGGTAGGGGGTGTGCAGGAGGCAGCTGATCGATGATTCTCTCTCATCGATGTTTCTAACTCTGTATCCCTCTCTCTTCCTCTCTGTAAAAAATCAATAAAATATATTAAAAAACACACACGAATAATAGTTATTATCTACTCTTTTTGCTCCAATGTGATTTAAAAAAAAAAAAATTAGGTGCCTATACTTGTATATCAGGATTCTGCTACCAAGAGTTAACCAATCAGATGTAACCTTATTATGCAATATGACCCATAAGATTCAACTCTATTATATGACCTATATATTTATGGTTTAAGACAAGGCATTCACACCAGACTTATTGTTGTGTTGGCTGTTGTCATTTTTGTTATTTTTTATTATTAAACCATCTAACAGAAAAGAGGTCAGTGTCTCTGGCTAAATACTGAGGTATTGCATGTTTTAAAAATTCTTGCAACACACTGGTTGAAAATTGCAGTACTAGGGTAATAGTGCTAGCTAAATTTCTTGATTTAATTAGCTTTCTTCATCTTTAACATGCTTTTTGCTTGCTAAATAACATTCAGGAAAAATATTAAAAGTACTATCTTATGAAATGAAAACCTCTACCACACCATAGATTTTACAGGTGTGTACCCATGTCTTGGTCATTAGGGCATTTTACTTTCTTTATGGCTAACTAGTTCTTGCCACTCTGCCCTCGATGAACAAAGCGAACATTCCAAATATCATAAATGTTTAAACAAAAATACTTCTCTTTGAAATTTATACAACAAAGGCATGTGTTCACATTTACACTTCATATTATTTGAGAAACAACTCAATGTGCAATATTCCACAGAGTACCTAAAGTAGCCTTTACAATAACAATGCAGCAAATTGAAATAAATTGCAAAAATTGGCTGTCAAACTGCCTAGTTTGCGATCACAGTTAAATGTGTCCCGTATATATTGTTTCTAGGATCAAAGGGAACGTACCTACTCGACAGTAAAAACCAAGTCCACCTCAGCTTCCATTAATAACCTGAAGCCAGGAACAGTGTATGTCTTCCAGATTCGGGCTTTTACCGCCGCTGGCTATGGAAACTACAGCCCCAGACTCGATGTGGCTACGCTAGAGGAAGCTACAGGTAAAATGTTTGAAGGTAATTACCACCTTTGATTTGGATTCTTACTCTCTATATTTTTTAACTCTTGCATTTTTTGTTAACTGTTGGGGATGATGATTTGGTTTAAGATAATTTTTACTTTTAAAGGTAAATATGTCTGCAAATATATGTGCTTTGTAAAGGCTATTCGGGATAATCCTTTGAAATGTGTGGTTTTGTTTTGCAATGTTAGAAACAGGGGATTTCGGATAGTTTCTTTAATACATACTGGGTTTGTTTGAAAAAGATGAAGTTAGGAACAGAAGCAGGACTTGCTTAATAAACAGGGTGATTGTGTAGACCCCAAAATTAATGTACTCTAGATGTATCAGTCAAAGCCGCTTCTTTTTAGAAACCCCGAGCGAAGCCAGGATGCACACCAGGGTGGGCCAGAGAAAGCTGTAAGAACTTATTACCAACGGGCAACTAGTTTCACGTTACTTGCCCTTTGGTAATAATTTCAAAAATTGAGCCCAGGAAGTTCTTAGAACATGCATTTATGTTTATTTTTATCACTTTTGTTTTCTTTTTGTGTGAAATATTTTAAGCATTCTAAAGAATACACTTATCATATATATGAAATAGTATTTTTAAATGTATATCTCTGTATCTACCACTCAGCTTAAAAATAAAATGTTACCAATATCTTGTATCCCCTTGATCATTTTGCTTATCTGTATAATGCAACATAAGAACACAATAATCCAGGAGTCTATAGGTATAGTGCATCATCAAGGAGCAGAAGTATCTTAGATGGTGTCCTTGTTCATCATCAGAGTGCAAGTTCAGAACAGCTTGAGTACCACTGCTGGTTGTTCTTCAGCTGACTGAGGGCTCAGAGTGTACTTTTGTATTCTGAAATGTTTTTATTTCTCCTGATGTCACTGCTCAGGCAATGGTTCACCAGCTGTTACCTCATCACCAGCTTGCCAATCTAGCATTCCCACAAAATTCTAAACAAAAATGATAAAAGAAATATATTATTTTCTTCCCCAAATTTTAATAAAATATTTTTAATAAATTAATAAAATTTTTATCAAAAAATTATTTTGACTTCAGAAAAATATTTTCATACATCTTTTAAAGATAGACTAAATATCCTTTATATTACCTAATGATTGTTAAATTTGCTAACAGTATTTGTCTTTAATTTTTTTTAATATTTTTATTTTTTAATATGATTTTATTTATTTTAGAGAGAAGGAGCAGAGGGAGAGATAGAAACATCGATGAGAGAGAAACATCAACATTGATTGGTTGCTTTCAGCATGACCCCTGTTGGGGAGAGAGCCCACCACCCGGACATGTGCCCTGATCAGGAATGGAACCCATGACCTCGCAGTGCATGGGTGGACATTCACCCACTAAACAACGCTGGCAGGGAAAATTTTTTATATTTTTAAACTAAGCAGTAACTCTCAAAACCTCACAGAATAAAACATTGAAGTAAACTTGAAATATAAATTATGTTTTCATAATTGTAGCTATAACTGTAGATATTTGCTGTTATAAAATTAATGCCATTATCCTTTATTATTTTTAAAATGGAGTATGTAAATTTAAAAATGAGAACAAGTTCAATGGCCCCAAAAACATTAAAGGATTTTAAGTTGAGAATTTAACATTTAAACATCCAAAAGCATTAAAGAATTTTTAAGTTGAGATTTCAACATTTAAACATTGTCATGGTCTTGTGTTAAATGGCTCTCATAGTCTCCAACTTAGATTGACCTCATGATATTTGTGATTTCTAGTGTAATAAGACACTTCAAATAACATTTCCATATTTTAATGAATAATTTAAACTTAAAAACATCAATTACTTCATATTTACCTGCACATTTTTTATTAGTTAAACAATTAGGTTTGAAAAAATTGTGAAATATTTTTATCATATGTTTGAATATATTTTCAAAATGATTTTTAAAATATTTTCCAAATAGGTTTGAGAACTTTATAAACTACTGTGAGTTGTGTGCTGAAGTTTGTACATATTATTTTCATTATATAAAAGTGAAGCAAATAAGACTCAGAGAGATTAAGATGAAGTAGTGGGACCTGAATGATTACATAAAATAAATCTTAAAAATTGATGTTTGCATTAGAAAGGATTTGGTGATTTTTAGCATAAGAATATTCTCTTCCCCTGGGATATATAGTTAATGGAAGAATGATCACAACTCCTTTTCTTACGATTGTCTTGCTAGCGCTTAATACGTAGAAAGCACTCAATGAATGAACAAATAAATAACTAAAAGTCATCAGTTTAGAACAGATTATTAGTATCATTCCACGTGAGAAGACATATTTCCTGGTTTCACATCTTCCATGTCCAGATGTGGGACTTTGGATGAGTTGTTTCTCTGTACCCTGGTTGCTACAATAGCCACCACCCAACTCAGAGGGCATTCTGAGGATTCAATAAGTTAATGTACACAAAGTGCGGAGTTCAGTCCCCAGCACACAGGAAGTCTTGAGTGTCAGCTTATATTGTTATGCACCCCATTTCAAGATTTTTGTTTCAGGAATTAAGATTTTTATTATTTGTACTAGAGGCCCTGTGCACAAATTCGTGCACAAGTGGGGTCTGGCCAGCCTGCCCCGATTAGGACCTATCAAGCTGGCTGGGGCCACTGGTTATGGGCTAGCCAACCCAGTCCCCAATTTGGGGGAGGGGGGAAATTGTTGGCGGGGCCGGAAGAACTCATGGTTAAACTCCAGTCAAACTCCCTGTCCAAGGGCAATTTGCATATTAGCCTTTTATAATATAGGACTTGAGGCCTGGTGCATGAAATTTGTGCACTGGCTAGGAGGCCCTCATCCTGGCCTACACCATCTCCAATCCAGGACCTCTCGGGGGATATCTGACTGCCGGTTTAAGCCTGATTCCTGCAGGTCTAAATTGGCAGTTGGACATCCTTCTCACAATCTAGGACTGCTGATTCCTAACTATTTACCTGCCTGCTTGCCTGATCACCCCTAACTACTTTCCCCTCCTGGCCTGATTCCCCCAACTGCTCTCCCCTGCTGGCTTGATCACTCCTAACTGCTTTCCCCTGCCAACCTGATTGCCCCTAACCACCATTGTCTCAGACCCTGCTACCGTGGCTTTGTCTGGAAGGATGTCCAAAAGATGTCAAATCTAATTAGCATATGACCCTTTTATTAGTATAGATTATATCTATCAATAATCACCACATCAGAAATTATAACTGAAACATTTTTTTCAACACAGGTTTCATTAGCCATCAGGGTGATGATGTCATCCCATGTCATATAACTTCTGGAAAACTCTGTCTACTTGTGAGCATATATGAGTAAAAAAAAAAAAAGTCAAGTTAACAGGGCCTGTGTGTCTCAGTGGTTTAGCTTTGTCCCATGCACCAAGAGGTCACTAGTTTGATTCCCAGGCAGGGCACATGCCCAGTTTACCAGTTCAATCCCCAGTAGGGGGCGTGCAGGAGGTAGCTGATCCATGTTTCTCTCTCACTGGTGTTTCTATCTCTCCCTTTCCCTTCCTCTCTCTAAAAATCAATAAAAACGTGTTTTTAAAAAGTCAAATTACATTGTATTCTATGAAAATAATTTTGGCCTTCCAACATTCCTGGAGAGCTCTTGAGGGATCCTCAAGGCTTCCCAGACCATTCTTTGAGAAATAATGATTTAGCACAAGCTACTGTGCTAAGAATTAGAAATGTACACGCACATGACAGAGTTGATACTTTCAATTTAAAGTTTAGTGAAAGACAGACTTGTATACAAATTCTAGCCACACCGTTAAGCGCTGACAGAGTGCATGGGCCAGTGCTGTTAGTGTCAGCAAACAGTGGCTCCTGTGATGGGAAGAACAGCAGGGAAGATGCCACTGAGGAGAAGTCACTTGAGCGCTGTTTGAAAAGAGAAGCTAAACAGACTATTTCATCGCACATATGTCCTAACAGCCCCTTCTAATGCAAAGTCAGCTCTACTGTTTTTATAATTTTTAAGCCATGTTGTGTTGGTTATGGCATCTATAACTTAGTTTTAAATTTTATTACCCATGAAATAGTTGAAAATGTTAACCATGGATGTTGACTATGCAAAGATTAAAGTGTGACTCTGGCTAGATATAGAAACATACACATGAATATTCACAAGTTCTATTTCGTCATGCACCTGAGTTCAGTTTTCTCATTGGAGTTATGTTCCTGAAGCCAGGGCAGAACGGAACCTAAGACAAACAAAGGATTAGACCCATGGGACACATAGATTGAATAGAAATGTTTTGTATACATACGTGTGTAATTTCCCTTCTTCATGAACAGACTACTCCATCCTTTTTTCTCTCTACCACAAATAAAAAGACAAATAAAAACAACCAAACCAACCAAACAAAAAAACTTGAAGTCATCTTTTTGTTGTTGTTGTTGAGGTTTAATTAAAAAATAAAGCTTAAACGTTGTTTCCTCTCCTAGACCCCTGCCTCATTTAGTTCCCTTGGGAATAAATCAGCATGTACTGAATTGGCAAGTGTGTATGATATCTTTGTTCAGAAATTATTATACCAGAGCTATTTATAATGTTTTTCAGGGTAAAAGCTATCTATAGTTAGCTTAGGTATTCAAAATTAAGAGATAACTTCTCAAAAGGAAGAGGACATAGATAAACTAAAGGAAGGCCAATAAAAAACAAACACACACAAAAAACTATATGCTGCCTATATTGTGGCAAGACATACTCTGCCTACATATAATGTAACACTCTGGAGACCCAGTCCCTTGCCACTTGCAAGAAGGAGTAATATTTTCCATCCTGCCATAAAGAGTACCACCATTGGTTGTTTCAGAAACAAACAAATGACATTAGTTGGACATTATATATTATATGATACTTGAAACAGAATCATTTAGTGGAAAATACATTTTTATTGTTTTATAGTACTCTATGAAGGCTATAATGGCATTGAAATTATAATACTCTAAGCCTTATGACAATTGCAAATTGTGATATAAAGTAAAACTCCACTAATTTGGAAAAATGGTCACATGGGAAGGCCATGTGACTTACTGAAGAACTGGAATTAGAGCCTGCTTTACAGGACATGTAAACATAGATGTTCCCAGGGAGACCCCCAAAGACCAGCAGGACTTACATTAATGAGCATAGGAGAATCACCCACCATCATGCAGGAAGTGTCTACAATTAGATAATGCTGAAATCTTTTTTAAAGTACTTGCAGAAAGTTTGCTCTTTCTTACATAGCTAACCTCTTTTATAATCTTAAACTCTCAAATGTGTGCATTGCGTGCTTTTTCAAATTAATACAAGTAATTCTACTCTTCTTCATTATAGTGAATTGTCAAGTGATGATGACTATGATCACATGATGATTTTTTATTTTATATTGATGACATAGAAGATAAATCATTTAAAACACTTTGAATAAATACATAGAATATGTATTTTGGTTATATATATATATATATATATATATATATATATATATTCCAGAAAAACAGACCTGGAAGGATCCCATACCTTGCTGAGGAAAAATAGGGATCAAATCGCAATTGTAGACGAAAGATCTCTGTCTCTGATTCATAACTAAGTTTCCAATCACTAAGCAGGAGATAGGCATTCAATGATGTATTTTATAGGTTTCTTTTGTAGCTGAGGGACATAAAATAGATGAAGTACTGTCCTTACCACTTCTTTAAAATGCAAAAATAACATTTAAACTTGCACTGAATGAAAATAATGCACTTATAGAGCTTACGATGAATTCGATAGCATCGCCATCTCCTGTTGGTAAGATTTTGTTTAACTCTCGAGTTCTCGCCTGGTATTGAGTGTTGCTGGGCCCCTTTGCTCTGTTTGCAGCCACAGCCGTGTCCAGTGAGCAGAATCCTGTCATCATCATCGCTGTGGTCGCAGTGGCAGGGACCATCATCCTGGTGTTCATGGTCTTTGGTTTCATCATTGGGAGAAGGTAGGATACACATTGCTTCTCATCTGTGAGATATAACTTTTCAGTTTTTCAGAATTAGGTCTCCCATTGCTTGTTATTTAGTACATCAGGATAGTAAACGCAAACACTCTTTGTGGGATATGAAACATTAAAGGGCACTAAGTTTTCATTCTCCCAAGATCAAAATACACTTTGAACTTAATCATCGCCTTTAGTTTAAGGAGATGAGTAATGTCATTTCTTTTGGGAAAAAATTATTCTTCTAGTTAATGCTTGTGGAAACCATTTAAAAATCTGTTGTTTTCCAGGGGAGGGGGGAATTGTAGAAGCAAATATTTACTTGTTTATAAATCTAAACCTATAAATATGTTTCTTCTATTTTGTCTCACACAAATACTTTATATTCTGTGCCTTTTTTTAATCATATGAATTATTATGTTATTATGTTTACATAATACAGGAAATTTTTATATTCTGTTTATATATCTAACTAGCATGTTGTAAAATAAATAAGGTATATTTTACTGAATTTTAAAAATATAAAGGAAGATCATTGATTGTGTTTGTCACAAATTTGATTTTTTTTTTTTTTCCAGGCACTGTGGTTATAGCAAAGCTGACCAAGAAGGGGATGAAGAGCTTTACTTTCATTGTAAGTGTTTGGTTTTTCTTTACTATTATATATTGCAATTAATACAGAACTTGGTTGTTAATATTGGCATGAAAAAATTCCTAACGCATCACCCTTGAAATGAGCTCAAAGTACTGCTTTAAAGCATTTGACAATATATTTAGAATGAAAGTCATATCATGTGAATTTATAAAACAATAAAATATATTCTGATATGTAATCTCTTAAGAAATTTTAATATAACTGCAGGATATATTAAGCTGCCTTTATGACACAATTTTTCCTTTTCAAATGTTTTCTACTATTTTAATAATAATCCATTAAATGTTGCATGGCCCATGTTCTAGCCAAGGAATTTTTATAAAATTAGAAGGCTTTACCATCTAATGAGTTATGCTACCTTAAAAGGCTAAGGAACCACTTTCTCTTCTGCTACTATACATTGTCTATCACTGATAGATATTTTTACTCGACAGTAAACATATAGTAATAGGATTTAATCCTCCAATGTCTTCCTGTAGATTCATATTACCTAGTTCTTAAAAATTCATTTTAGAAATCATATTTGGAATAGATGTTAGGTAACCAAGGAAAATAGATAATCCAAATGATATCCATCTTTACTTTTATTCTTGTCCATTATGGATAACAAGTAAAAAATAAGAGCCATGTGAATAAATGTTAGAGCTCTATGCATCCAAAGTAAAAATCTATCAGATCAAATGATTTTAGTTCTGATAATCCTTGAAATTATTAAGAACAATTTTACTTATTATTTTTCTTAGTAGCAATCATCTTTACTAGAATTTTTTTATGAGTGGATAAATTTCTTAAATGGCAAAGGAATTATATCTATTATTGTATTGTTTATCAACTTGTTATGTTAATATCTAAGAAGGTATTGTCATGTACCCATTCTACAATAACAAGATTATCTAAGCATCTATCCAGAAAATGTGTTACTCTAAAGACACACATTTTGAGTTTCTTTACTGTGTTTCTATTTGTGGAACCAGCACTGTAACTGTAGCTTTCAAAATAGAAGTGGCTTTAGATAATACATATCTGACTTGATTATGAAACTCATCAGATTTCCAGGCAGGAAGGGTGTTTGAGATACTACAGATTAAAGTAAAAGGTGTGACCAGCGGCTGTTCATTAAGAGGCCTCAGCTCCGGGGCCCCTCACTTCCTCAGACCCCAGTGTAGGACCTGGTAAAGCCCTGGCCATCCTGTGTGCATAATCTCCTTTTACTCAAAGAGGGCATCATAATTGTAGAAGCCTCCTAAAACTTAACGCCCCCCCTGACTATGGCTGAATCCATGTGATCCCACCCCTTCCCTGCAGTGATTTTTCCTGGGAGAACACAGCCTCCGGCGATGAGAGTGCCAGAGGCAGTTTTTAGTGCGAGGATGTACCCAAAAAATGGAGGTTACTTTTTTTCTCTCTCATGACATAAGAGAATAATTTTAACACTTCCACGGATAGGAAAAACAGGTTCCAATCTTGAATGCCTAAATTTTTACATCTAGTTTAAAGTGTATAAAGGAGAGAAACTTAAGACCATAGTTCCTGCAATCCCTGATTCTGCCCATATGTGAATAATTGGGTGGCAGAATCCTTTAATATTTGTTTTAATCAGCATGTCACTCTGCTATGGAGTATTTCTGAGACATCTCAAAATTACCAAATATGTTTTAGTTTATATAGTTTTAGCTTGAAGGTTAATGCAGGAAGTAAGTTGAAATATGGTTCATGTAAAACTTATATAGCCTTATGCTTAATTGTCATCACTCAGTTTTAATATTTTAATGCCATTTGCTTTTTTTACATTTGACATTCAGTTTGTAATTAGAAAAAAAATAGGGTAGCATGTTGTACTTGCTAATGTGGACAAGATATGTTTGATAAATATACAATTTTCATCTCCAGAGCAAAAATATCTATGGTGGTTTCAAGATATTTAACACTCATGAGAAATGTAAATGAGCTACTAAAACACAGAAAATCTTGCTGCCTTAATGAGATAAGCAACAGACCAGAATATTCAGAAATTATGTCAATATATTTTATTTTAAAAATCAATTTTTAAATGAATAATGAAGCAAAATGCACTTACCATATCCTATTCTGGTTAATCCCTGTTATTTTTGAATCACCCTTTTAACAAGGATACTTTTTCTTATCATTTGACAAGAAACAGACACTTTATTCGATTTCATGACTGTGTCTAAGTACAGCAGTATGGTCACCAGCTATTGGCAAGGAGGTGTCCTTTTTTTCCTTTAGTATACAAACAATTTCCTTAGGCGCTAAGGCGCCAGATTGAATTTTTACGGAAATCTGAAAGCAACCATTTAGCTAGCTTTTAGAGCACAGGATGTAATAGAATGTCCAGCCGTTATATCAGGCACACTCCACTCTCCATGGCCCAAGTACTACATTTAAAGATATAAACACAATGGAGGAGTTCAGTGAAGCAATTCCAATTTACATTTTGTTTCCTCCTACCATTTCTTCCAACAATGTCTTTGAATCCAAGCTGGGCAGTATTTCATGTTTTTATGCCAAAATCGCTGTGGCCTGTCAAAATGTTTTATGACAGCTTGAATAAAGAACCATCAGAGACCCCGTTTGAGATGCAGAAGGTTACCTCCATTCTAGCTCCCTTATCGCAAAACAAAACAAAACAAAAACTATGAAAGAAAGAGAATAAAAAGGGAGAAGATGGCTCATTCTCCATCTGCCTACCAATCTAGGAGGTTAACCTATTGTTTTCTTCCCTTCTCTCTTTTTCTCTTCCCCCCTCTTCTCTCTACTCCTTCTTCTCTCTTTTCTCTTTCTTTCCCCTCTCTCTTTTCTTCTTGTGTTTTTTTTTGTTGTTTGTTTGGTGTTTTTTTTTTCTCTCATGTTCAGCTTTAGTAACAAATGAGCATCTGTCAGTTTTATAAACTGGAACAGTAATTGTTTAAGACAATCAATTTTGGATAAGCAATCAACTACAGCAGAATGAATCAAGATTTTTAAATCCCATTTTCCTTCATACATTCTGCTTTCTTTTGTTTGTTATGTGTTTATTTTTAAAAGATAGTTTTAATTTAATGTGATGACATAAGCACAGTTAGGCTGCAGTGTAATACATAAAGAAATATATTGTTCTCCAAATAGTGAGATTTAATGGAAAGATTGTTCAGTGGCTTTGTTAAAAACAATAAAGTTTTTTTTTGAGGATATAGTGTAATTCTTTTCATTGCATTAATATAACCAAATATATGCCTATATTATCTTTGTCTTTATCCATATGACTGACTTGGAATACATTATTGTAACTGAATTTTATTTAAAGTTAACATGGCATTATCTGTTATCTGCATGCTCCCGGGTGCATTTTAAAAATTCAACTTTTGCAACTTTTATGATTCTATGCTGTTTGAATCTTGACTACTTTTTCTGAGACATATTGTCTGCCTCCTCCCAGAGCCTTATAAATGAAAGTTCATATGAACCATTCTTCTTTCAAACTGTGTCACACATGGTTAGCAGATCCCAGGAATATTGTAAATTTTTCTAACTTTACTCTGGACTCTGTACATTCTGGCCTCTTTTGCCCTATAAGGTAAAAATGAAACTGTGTTTTTAGTAGATTTCTCTCTGAGTCTGTGATAGTGGCCCTCACTTCTTGTATTAATTTTATGTACATGTCAACGGTGGTTGGTCTTTTAAAAAAAAAATAAATAAACCAAAAGAATAAGTGAGATGTCTAAATGTTTTTAATATTGCTGTCAGTGTAGTAGGCTACCTGTATATGAAATGTCTTCTTTCCCCAGTGTGTGTATTTGATTGATTGACTGACTGATAGATTTACAAATGTGTCTCCAAGTCCATTATTAGCCTCAGTATGGCTTGAACTATGCCATGATAGCAGTGAATTTAATTAAACTTTCAGTCTGATAAGTCACGACAGAGAATTTTGGTGATGTATTTTGTTGATTTACCGGAAAAGCAATTCAGTTAGTAACCTATGAGCTGGATCTTATGTAACCTGTAGAAGCTTGCAGATAATACCTATACGCCCGCAGACTGAAGTAGTCTGTTAAAACCGCTGTGAATCAGGTGATGTGGAAGCAAGTTCCCTGTTCCAAGGAGCACTCTGCATAATGAAATCCCTGGGCTGACTGCACAATAAGTGCTTTGCTTCATCACAGTCATGCTTTCTTACATCATTACAGTTAAATTTCCAGGCACCAAAACCTACATTGACCCTGAAACCTATGAGGACCCAAATAGAGCTGTCCATCAATTCGCCAAGGAGCTAGATGCCTCCTGTATTAAAATTGAGCGTGTGATTGGTGCAGGTAAGGCTGTTGTAGCTTCCTTATTCAGCTCTTCCATTTAGCCAAGACCGAAAGTCATACATCATAATGACAGGCAAATAATTATACCTCAAGTATAGAGCTTTTGCATTTACCTGAACTGTTGGAAGCAATGAGGCTGTACTTATTTGTGAAATCTGAAGAGAGAAAAAAGTGAAAAAGAAGCATGTGACACAGAGAATCTGTGCACTTTTGCCTTCTGTTGGTTTTGTTAAGATATTGTTCTTTTGTAAGCTATCTTATAAGCTTGGCCTGGACTTCAAGAAATAACAGTATTATAAAAAATTAGCATGTTTCTAAATTTTGCTAGAATATATTTACTCTTACTTGATGTACCATCTTGCTAAGCTTTCGTTTTTATTTCTTTTTCTTGTATTTGTAAGGTATTCAGTAGCTTTTGTACTATTTATTTTCACGTAGAAAGTTAATATGCATGAATTATTAAGGAATATTAATATCTATATGTTCAATGTATTTTAATAATAATGTTACGTTTTCAGTCCAAGTCCATTTCATGTAGCAGTCATGGGGCATACGAATTCAACACTTTTAAATCTTAAAGAACTATTTGCCCCTTGAACCATAAAAGAGGTAGCAGCGGTTAGGATTTGCTGTGATGCTCCCTTCTCTTTAGTGGGCAGTGTGCATTAGATAAATAATTTTAATTTGAAATTTTGTTCCTGAAAGAATTTTTGTTAATTCAGTTTAAAAATAGCTTGCGTGACAGACTTTAGAAAAGCTTAAAAGTACTTTTAAGGAATTATTTGCATTTACCTTGAGAGAAGAAATACTTCTGAAATTAAAGCACACCTGCCTGCTCTGTTGCTTCAGGAGAATTTGGAGAAGTATGCAGTGGCCGTTTGAAGCTTCCAGGGAAACGAGATGTCGCCGTGGCCATCAAAACCCTGAAAGTTGGGTACACGGAAAAGCAAAGGAGGGACTTTCTGTGCGAAGCCAGCATCATGGGGCAGTTCGACCACCCAAACGTTGTCCATTTGGAGGGAGTTGTTACAAGAGGTAGATATTGATCAGACCTTTCATTTACCATGTGGACTGTCAGAAATTGGTGTCATTTCACACACAGTAAAAAAATCAAATAGTGAACATGGTGCACATTCTAAATGAATGTTTTTCTTGGTATGTACTGACTAAACAATTCTTCTTTTGTGTCACCACCTCAGGGGGGAAAATCAAATGAATGCAGGATTAGAATAAAAAAATACCTGGTAGCTAAAGCAACTGAGACTTTCTTTTCCCCCTTAGCTCAAAAACCAGAGAAGCGGTGCAGTTTTAGTCTTCATACTTTACATAAAGTGACATTTTCCCAGAGTTTTGTTCAGAAAGCAGGAGTCAGAAGAACGCACTGATTTTTATTGTTTAATTTTTTGAATCGTGACAATGTTCTAGACATTTAAGGACTCTTTGGCCTTAGCAGCAGTACTGGAAACTTTCGAAACTCTCACACATTCTGTCTTTAGAAAAAACACCAAGTGTTTTATCTTGGATGAGAAGAATAACCTTGAAGTTGAGGTTGCATTTTTCTGAAACAACACTTTTGTTTTCTTACGTATGTATGTTTTTAATTTTAGGGAAACCTGTCATGATTGTAATAGAATTCATGGAAAATGGATCTCTAGATGCATTTCTCAGGGTAAGTAGCAAAATTATTCTCCCATCCTAAACATTGCAGATATGCCACTAAAATAATGTCCTGAAGTTTCTGTGTGTGTGTGTGTGTGTGTGTGTTGTTTTTTGTTTGTTTGTATGTTTGTTTGTTTTTCAGTGAAAATTATAAACAAGTTAGAAAGTTGTTAAGCAGGTTAAAGTTCAGAGCCTTAGACTGACTTGAACTAGAATCTTTTTGATCATTCAAGTGATACAATGTAGTGAAAAAACTAGTTTCCATTAATATGCTACCTCAAGTAAAGAGGATACCTGAAGCTTTGTAATTTGAATACAGGTTGTAGAGTAGCATTTTACTTTTCCAGTACAAAATACAGTGGTTATTTTACCAAGAAGACTGAAAAGTGAAATAACCATATAATATTGGGACCATGACCCCCGTTCTGCTCTCTGGAGCCATTTCTATTGTGCTGTTAACTCCGAGAATAAAGTGTGGAATTGTTAACATTTTAAAAATTAATAGCATGTGATTATTTTTATAAATGATACATTCTAAATGTTCAAAATAATGCATTTTTATCCTCAGAGACTTTTCACCTAAGAACATGAACACGTTAACATTTTTTTTAAATGGCAAAGAGAAAATAATCTCAGCAATAAGAGGACGTGCAGAGCTGTCATAGATGATCTAGAATTGTACGTTCTACCCAGACTGATAGGCCTTTAGGAGATTTGGAGACATCTGTATTGCTGCTGTTGCCGCATCTGTGTGATATGCATGACTATGAGCTCCTGAGAGGAAAGCATCACCTAGCAAGTTAATCAACTCAGCACCAGTGTCTTCATGCACCATACTTGCAATTCATTTGGAGAAATCTGTGGGTTACACATAGATGATAGGCAGTCCAATTGCACATATTGTTCAAGCCCACTTGCTAGTATACTTCGTCTGGAGACTTTCTGTTGCAAGTAATGTTCCTACTAATAGCAAAACCAGGAAAAGTATAAAAAGAAAACAAAGTCAGCCAATATAATCATTCCCTACTTCTTAGTTTCTCTTTATCTTTAATAAAAATATGTGTGTGTGTGTGTGTGTGTGTGTGTGTGTGTGTGTGTCCTTTTTTTTTTTTTTTTTACCATTTGGAGGAAATACCTTAATATATGTGTCTTTGTACCTTTATATGATTTTAGGTTATTTTCATAACTTTTTATCTAGTGAGGAAAACACTAAACACTTAGCTGTGAGCGAGTTGTTTGGATGTTCCATTCCCTAACTTTCACCTAAAAATTAGGATATACTTTTGGATTTGTGTACGATGGAGCTATTGCTAATTAATATTAACAATATCAGTACAAATAACTGATTACTGAAACTCTGCTTTGTATTATTTGCCTCTCAATAAAATCAGTATTTATTTTGTTTTTCACAATTGTCTGTATTATATGAAAAAGAACAAATCCCATTACACAAAAGGAAATGACTAGTGTGCAGACTCTTTCATGGGGATTTCTTTCTCTTCACAGCACAGTTTACGGGACTTTATTTTTGTCTTCCTGTAGAAACACGACGGGCAATTTACAGTCATTCAGTTAGTGGGGATGCTGAGAGGAATTGCTGCTGGAATGAGATATTTGGCTGATATGGGATACGTTCACAGGGACCTTGCAGCTCGCAATATTCTTGTCAACAGCAATCTTGTGTGTAAAGTGTCAGATTTTGGCCTTTCCCGGGTTATAGAGGACGATCCAGAAGCTGTCTATACAACAACTGTAAGAAAAAGTCTGCTACTGCATCTCTTCATATCCCTAAGACTTTCCTACCAAGAAAGCAAAGTGTAATGATACAAAATTAATGGGGGGGGGGCAAATTAATCTCAGGGGGAGGGGGTTTGTTTGTTTGTTTTTTTGTCTTGCTACTTTTTTCCTTTTGGAAGAATCATTGTTGCTTTTATAATCTACATATAGGACAAGAGAAGAAATAAGAAGAATGATAGCATGCTTATCTTATATTGGGATGTTTAGATAAATAATATACTGTAAAGTCATGTACAACATCTAGCTACTAGTACTCATACTTGTAGCAAAAAAAATGTAATTCTATTTTAAATAAAGATTTTAAAAGAAGATGAGCTATGTTAAAGTCTTACAAACTTTTGTGAGGTTGTATAAAAGGGAATATGTGAAGGGAATATGGTGTACTTAAATACACCATATTTCATTCCATATTAGTGGTTATTTTACATAATTTGCCATTGTCTTCTGACTAGTCTCCTGAGACCACATAAGGCCCATTAACTGAGTTGCCATAAAAGTATAATAGTGTAATGAGTTTAAGAAAGAGATTAGCAACTTTAAATACACTTAGAGAGATTCAAGATGGATAGGTGTGAAACTGCTGAATTGCCATGCAAATATAAAGATGATTAACGGTAGCTTTCTGGTTCTGCTTTAAGTGTTGTATAACTGATGTATACATATTTAAAATGTTGGTTTCTTGTTATAATAGGGTGGGAAAATTCCAGTAAGGTGGACAGCACCTGAAGCCATCCAGTACCGGAAGTTCACATCAGCCAGTGATGTATGGAGCTATGGAATCGTCATGTGGGAAGTTATGTCTTATGGAGAGAGACCTTACTGGGACATGTCAAATCAAGATGTAGGTGTTACACTATTTAAACAAAAATTACTTAATACATTGATATCCAGTATTATTAGAATATGTAGGTAATGGCTCGTATGATAAAGCTTCTATTGAATTATAAAAATATAATACAGACTTTTGTGCACTGGGGGAAAGTGGGTCCCTCAGCCCAGCCTGCCCCCTCTCATAGTCCGGGAGCCCTCAGGGGATGTCCTACTGATAGCTTAGGCCCGCCTCCCATGGCTGATCAGGGATGGCAACATCCCCATCACCTCCTCACTGCTGCTGCCTCTGGCCTCCCTCTGTGGGAGGCGGAGGCACCTGGTGATCAGGGGAAGGCAATGCCCCCATTACACCTCTACTGCTGCCACTGCCAGCCATGCAGCTGCCTGAGCCTCATCCCTTGCAGCCACCACTGTTCATCTGAGCCTTAGCCCAGCCCTCATTGCCTGAGGCTTGGGCCCTGGGCAGGAGCTTGACTGAGCCTCAGGCAACCGCTGCAGCTTTGACCAGAAGGACACAGCATCAAGTCCCACCCACCCACACATGCCTCCTGCTGATTGGTCAGTAAGGTGTAATGGCATGATGATCATTAGCATATTAGCTCTTTATTATATAGGATAATTGCTGAGTTTACATAATTAATACCACAAATTACTAAATAATTGCCATAAATTAGTGGTTCAATCAATTTCATTTTTATTTCATTTTGAAGAATTGTGTTTTCCTTTTCCTTTGAATCTCTATAATAGAAGCCTTCACAGGGTATTTCCTCCTTATTAAAATAATGATGCTTTGCTTGCCCAGCTACAATGGAAGAGTCACAGGAGTAAAAACATCATATATGGAGAGGAGGGTAAAGAAGGTTGTGATTGTGGTTATTTTTTGTTTTTATCCTATTCTTTTTCTTTAATGTTCTAAGAAAATCTGTTGAAATCATTGTTGATTGAATTAACTAAATTTTAATTTCATGATAGAATCTAAATTTTATGATCATTATTGCTATTTCGTTGTGGTATTTTATAATGTAATCACAATGGAAGTATTTTTGGAAATTCCTAAATAAGACAGTGCTCATTTAATGTGTATCCTGTTACATACTAACATAAAATATGCTATTATTCTTTGATACAAGAAACTGGTAGCATATACATCTTATGCCCAGAGACCACTTATAACACAGTATAAGTGAGTGTTAATTTTTGCTTCTATTTAGGTTGAATTTTTTGTAATTGACATTTTATAGGTCTAAAACTTTCAAATACTGGCAGAATTATATAGTTCAACTTATTGACAATGTGAGTGAAATTTGGATAAAATTAGAGAAAGTGTAAATCTAGGAAGTAGAAATCTGAAGGAGATCTTTGCTTATAGCTGATGAGAAATTCTCCAAGGGAACATTCTGGCAAGTTCAGAAGCAAAAACTTAGCAAGGTGGATGGGGACCAACTATCTTTGTTTTTTATTTTAGAATTTTCTATATCAAATTTATATGGTTCTTAACATTTATAGTTATTTTTAGACAACTAAAGTCAAACCAGACTGCTGGTAAAGTTATTTTCAGTATATTTCCCTTCAAATTTCTGCATTACCTGGAGTTCACAGCTGAGAAGGTGAAACTTTTAAGTCATTTAAATATTTTGGTATTTTAAATTGAGAGATGACTTGAAACTTCTTAATTTTTATTTATTTATTTTTATTTTGGTTTCTGTTTTTCAAAGATAAAAGCCTAAGTGATGGGTCCGTTTGGCAGAGGCAAAGTTATTAACATTTGACAGGTGTCAGTGTCAAAGATTCCATGGGCTGTCAAAACGAGAGCAAACAAATCCTTGGGGCAGAGAAAGAGAAATATTGATATTCCCTAGACAGTCAGTAGAGTTTCTTTTGACATCCTCCTTCTGTACTAGATTCAAACATAAAAGGAATGATAGGAATATAAGATAACTTAAATTCATAGTTCACTTAACTTCTAAAAACAAATAATAGAAATAGTTAAGAAAACAATAAATAGCTTCAGTTTTCATTTTTAGACTTCTCTGTTTTTTTGAAAATTAAATATCATGAAGATATAATAAGTGTATCATGAATTAACAAATACTTTATCAATTAAATTAAATGATGTCTAGAAAACAGCTTTGTTTTGATGTAGAACATTTAGCACCTCTTTAATTTTTTTTAATTTTGAAGGTCTTAATTGTTAAATTCAGACACAATTTTATGTAATAGTAGGAGTTTTCCTATGTCAGTTTTGGTAATGAATTAGATGTTTATATTTCTCTTATAGGGTAATATTTATTATTTCATACTTGTATTGTTAAAGTGCTATTTGAGCAGTTATATAGGGTATCCAAAAAAATGTATACACACTTTAAATAATTATAAAGTTAGTATATATTAACATACTGTTCATTTTGAAAATTTAAAAGAATCAACAGAAGTAAATAATGTTTTTTTACAATCCCTGGTGAAAGATTGTAAAACTGATGACTGATCCACTGATAATGGAATCTCAAACATCAAGAATCAGTTGGTTTAGTATTTGTGCACCCTCAATTCATCGATTGTTGCTGCTTTTATACCGTAAACTTTATCTTTTATATAGCCCCATAAAAAAGTCTAGTGGATAAATTTTCTTTATTCAAAGCTTAGTTTGGCTTCACCCATTATTTCAAACCAGTTAAACCTGCAAAGGAGTAAAAATTGAGTTATCAGCTGTTTTTAAAGTGTGTATACCTTTTGGGGGGATTACCTATATGTACAATCTTCAATACACAAATGGTGAAAAAACTGAATAATTTAAAATTCTATTCTGGTAAAACCTTTCTCTACCTAAAAGCTTTTTTTTTTTTTTTTTTTTAACTTGAAGTCTCTGCTAGGAATTCATGGAGAAGGTTGAGATCTCTAAAACCCCTCATGCATATGGAAATCCTGTGTATCAGAGAATATATTGTGTTTTCCTGGGAAGTTTGCCTTCACCAGATCTTCAGATATATTACCTTTTTTAATTAGCCTAAATTGATTTATTAAGTGAATCAACTCACTTTATAGTGTTTAAATTTAGTTGCTAAGATTTTGTCAGGAATGTAGAAAGCCCCCAACTATCAAATGCTTGAGATTATGAAAGCCTTTAATAAGATGCCATGAAAATAAGCAGTAAATTGATGGTTATGTTTATAAGCAAGTTCACAAAATTCCAGGCTGCATGCTGAATAAAGGGAGGTTTCTGTGATCATGGCTACTGCAGAAATCAGTGAGGTAGGGAGTTCTTGCTGGGGAGCTTTAGTTACACTCTAGACATGTGTGAGCAAGAAAAACTTGGGAACAGATAACACGCATAGGTATAATGACAGCCACACCCAATGCTTTATGACTTAATGAACACTTGTAGGAATGCTCATTGTATTTTTATGAACTTATAACTTTCTTGAATTTTCACCAAATGGAAGCAGTTAGAATCTTGTTATTTGCTATTAAAATCAAAGCTGAATATCCTAAATAAGTTGCAAATTTTCATTCTTTTTAAAGAATAAAATCTGCAGATTTATAGCCCTTTCCGTAATGGCCTTTCAGAGAAAAAATATTTATATATGTAAAATGCAGTCAAAGGTAATAGATATTATAGAAATTGAAAATACTTATAATCAGCACTCACAGAAGCTAGCGTTTCATTGAATTTATGTCCTAATTTGAATAAAAGTTTTACACTCATATTTTGAAATTCTTCATTGTACAGATTTGATTGTTTTTCTGTGCATAGTACTCAACTAGGTTTTTTTTTTTTTTCTTTGAGTTAGGCCAATGCATTTTTAATTTTACTAGCAAATGGTCATAAGGATAATGAAGAATAGGTTTCCATAAATATATGGGGCATAAAGATAAATTCTTAAGGTGTTTTGTTTTAGAACTCTTAAGAGCTTTGAAAATATAATACATGGTAACTAAATTTATTTCCAACTAAATTGTGAGCCCTCAATTTTTTTTTTTAAAGCCACGACTAATTTATGTCTTTGTGGGTTTTTTATATTAATGTAGAAACAAAATTGTGATTTTTTTTTTAACTTTGCCATAATCCCTTAAGTGGGGTCTGAACTATTTAATTGTGTAAAATGTGGGTTATGTTATGTGAGGTTAATGATATGAAAATGGGCATGAGCAGAGAACAGAAGCCAATCATGTTATACCCCAGGTTGAGTGAATAAGGCCTGTTATCATGGCTGCTGCTTTTTTTCTTAATTACACTGGTCATACTATAATCATACTGAAACACTTCTCAAGGAGCAACTTTTGTGTTTATTCCTAAGTATTTTTTTAGAGTGCATGCCGAAGTATTCCTGTTGTATCCCAGTGGATTTTTATGGCATTGACCCTAGTCTCTTCTTATTCCACAGAGACCTATATAAAATTAGAAATTACTTAATGAATTTTTTTTCTTGACTTTTATTAAATACTAAGGCTAGATCTGGACAGGCAAAGCCAAGGTATGTATGCCAAATTGTGCTCTGGTCAAGCCGAGGTTCCAAGCAAGCATCTTGTGCTCATGTAGGTGAAGGCATGATAGTTAATGGGGTCCTTAGAACCCCAAATGGATTCCCAGTCCAGAGCATCCCTTATTTTAAGTGTTATCTATGGTTGCTGCTCCTTTAAAAATGTGTAAACTACTGTATCTTTGAGAGCTTCAAATGTCATTTTGGATTATGATACATGTTATTTCTTTGCTTTAATGATTTGAATCATGTCATTCCTATAATGCAATAAGACAACTACAGAGGTTTATTAACTATTTTATTCCTGTAAGAGTCTTTAAGGGCATGATACTGTGTTTATTGGCACAAAGACTTAAAATTTCTTGGGTTCAAAACTAAAGAAACCTCTGGGAGAAATGTTGAAGAGTATTGTGTCAGAAAGATCATGACAAGATTTAGGCTTATCATTTTAAAATATTATTTAGAGAGAAAGAAATAAGGAAAGCTCCTTCCACCTGCATTATTTCTGGACATGGGAGGAAGACAAACTGCAAGCAGGGAAACAGGCCAGGATGTTATAGGGACAGCACCAATGTTATGGACATGGGCTGTCAAATCAGAAAGAAACTGTTCAAATTCCAACAACTTCAAACACTCCTTCTCCTATGAAAACAATAACCCCCTAATCATTTATTATTTGGTTATTTTGAATACACAAAGTTTTAGAAGTTTTTTTATTTACTTACTACTAGAGGCCCGGTGCATGAAATTCATACACTTGGGGCAGGGTGGGGGAGGGGGTCATCCTTCAGCCTGGCCTGCGCCTAAGCAGTGCTCCCCCTGTGGGAGTGCGCTGACCACCAGGGGGCTGCTCCTGCATTGAGCATCTGCTCCCTGGTGGTCAGTGGGTATCATAGCAAGTGATCATTTCGGCTCTCTAACATCTTCCATGGGTCCCAGATTGCAAGAGGGTGCAGGCCAGATTGAGGGACCCCACTGGTGCACAATCAGGGCAGGGAGGGGCATGGGAGGGTTGTCTGGCCCATTTGCTCAGTCCCAATCAGCCAGACCCCAGAAGCAAGCTAACCTACCAGTCAGAGTGTCTGCCCTTTGGTGATCAGTGTATGTCATAGTGATCAGTTGAGCTGCCTTAGCATATAAGCATAGTATGCTTTGATTGGTTGAACAGCCGACTGGATGGCCAGACACATAGCATATTAGGCTTTTCTTATATAGGATGCATAATTTATTTAAATAACTTACCTCACTTTTCCAAAGTACTTCTATCTATATAAGTTGTCTAACATAGAGCACTTTTGAGTCCAAGTGTAGGCCTGTCACTAGACTGTACAAAGCCACAGGAAATTGTTTGCATTTAAAAGGTTTTTTTTATTATTATTAATTTTCCCTATAGTTATATACTTGTGATCTTTGCAGTTACCATTTGTGTGTGTGTGTGTGTGTGTGTGTGTGTGTGTGTGTGTGTGCTTATGTGAAGTAGGAGATGCCTATGGAAGGGCCAGATGAAGATGTCTAGTAAAGTGATACATAAGACATAATGATCAGGAGACAATGTGGGTTGAGGATTGTATACTCACAATACTTCTCAAAAATTACTGTAATTAAGTTAATCTATTTACTTTTTAAGCTTCATTAATTTGCATATGTGGATATTTCTTAAACTCAAGTGGACTCTGTTTCTTTTCTAAAGGATTTTCTCTAAAAACTGTTGATGTCAGCTACTTTATTAATGCCATCCCACAACCTTTTTACATTTGAATGTGCTATTCTTGAATGTCAACAAGCATCTTAAGGATATAACCCCCTACAAATACTAACTTTATCAGCATTTCTTAAAGCCAGCTTTTGGGGTTATTTTCTTCAAAAACTCCGGGTCACCTTTTTTGTTTGTCAGTTTTTCTTATATTTCTACTGTTACCTTAGTATCAAAGGACTTGTTAATCCCCCTTGGATATTATAATGTTTTGCAAATTCTTATTTGTATTCTTTGCCTTTCTATTATGTTTCTTGCATTGCTCAGATTTATAACAATTTCTGATTTTTAAGATCTATTTTTTCATTCCATATAAATAAAAAATAAGTCTGAATAAGTAACTTTTAGACTTTCTGATTGCCCCATACAAATGTTTATAAAAGCTGATTTTTTTATTAACATTCAAAGCTTGATATAAATATCAGTTCGGACTGTTATATATAAACTAGAGGCCCGATGCACAAAATTCATGCAAGAGTAGGCCTTCTTTCCCCTGGCTTTCCTCTGGCCACCGGCAGGCACCCTGGACTTCCCTCACAGCCCCGGGTTCATCCGAAAGCTTGTCCACAAAAATGTTCATTCTAATTAGCATATTATGCTTTTCCTATGACAGATGGGCAGGGATATACTGATAAAAGTATAACAACCAGGACTCTGAGTGGGAAAGCCCTGCTTTGTGACCTTTTTCAATTTCCTAGTGAAATCCTTTCTCCCACCCCACTGCCACCCGCTGCCCACTTTCCCGAAGCCCATTTCAGTCTGGCGCTGTGAGGTCACTAAACTTGAAGTTGCAAGGTGATTTAACCACCTTCCTGAACCAGTACAAATAGGCTTCAGCATATAACACCGCTATACTTCCTAAACATATAAGCTTCATATCATTTAATAGTAATATTTACTGTCATATTTCACCGTTCACCTATTTTGTTATCTTGTTTAAAAACACAAAAAGTGAAATTATTAAGGATTCAATGTTGAGCAACAGAACTTCCTCTTACAACTTGAAAAATCTGTAGGCAAATGTGTACATGCACTGCTACAGACGAGTAAAGTAGTTTTATAATATACTCCCTTTTGAAAACTCCTGGGATGACATTAAAAGATTTTCCATCTGTTGTCACCCGAGTGAACTTAATTGCCGTTCCCCTTCGCTGAATTGACTAGAAAATGTCATTGCATCCTGCTCGCGCACCCCTGTAATAGCAGGCTTCACATTTATGGACGTATGGAAAGGTGGGGGAAGTCTTTTGCAAAGTAGCATGCTTCACTTTTATCAGGATGAGCCACTTTGCCTGCTGGGCAATTCCTTTAATTACAAGTGACCCTCCGTCGGTAATGTGTGTGATGTCCTTCTGGCTGTAGGTTATAAAAGCGATAGAAGAAGGCTACCGCTTGCCGGCGCCCATGGACTGCCCCGCGGGCCTGCACCAGCTCATGCTGGACTGCTGGCAGAAGGAACGCTCCGAAAGGCCCAAGTTCGAGCAGATAGTTGGAATCCTGGACAAAATGATTCGGAACCCAAGCAGTCTGAAAACGCCCTTGGGAACCTGCAGTAGGTAAGAAACGCCTAAGGCAGTGGAACCTGGGAGAAATTAATACGCTCACGTGAACCATTTATCTCCTCAGCCCCATCCCATTGGCCAATGCACATGTGTCTTACATTATAAGTCTTTATTAAATATATTGTTTACCATTTTTATTTATTTTTTTTTTCAGACAGCTTACCTCAATTGAATTGGTATTTAAAGAGACCTACTAATTATTATTGTGTGTGTGTTTTCCTTAAAAGTTATGAAAGATATCAGTGGTTGTCATTTAGAAAAAAAAAAAAAAAATTGGAATTTAGTGATTGGATGACATTTCACATTTTCAAATCATTTCTATTATATTTCTATTATTATTATTATTATTAGGCTTTGTTTTACTAGTACTCTAGCTTGTGACATATTATCTATTTTATTGTTTTGCTGTGAGTTATGTAAAATGAGTCTCTGAAATTAACATTTGTAAAAGTAATTCAATACATGATTAAAGAGATATACCAGTTAAAAAGTGTCTTATTTGGGGGGTGAGGGAGCCTGTCTAGTGGGGAAAAAGGAGATATATGTAAAACTTTAGACAATAAATAAATTTTTAAAAAAGTGAAATGTGTTACACAAAAACATTAAAATAAAATAAAAAGTGTCTGGAACACGCCATTCTTTGAACTTGACTTCCTCCATTGTGATGCATACTAGTAGTTATTCAACCTCAGCTGCCAGGTAAGCCCAGTGCTCTGGTCTGCACTGGAGGTCAGTCAGGCCCTTGTGGAGGTGTGTGAACCCACACGGCCTCATAAGGGTGCCCTCAGTACAGTGGTCCATAATCTTAATAGCACCCTCATGGTCTAAACAAGTCAGTCCACAGTCAGATGTGCTTCCTTTACTCACACTTACTTTTAGAGAAGCAAATGAACAAATATGTGCTGATCACAGACACTGCTGGCTGTACTTTTAAAAATACATGGACGATGCAATCTGGTGGTCATGAAACATAAATTTTGGAGTCTGCAGTAATTGGGTAACCTTATGCATTATATTTCATTAGTATATCTATTTTAATATTTACACATTTACATTTTACATTTTATATTATTTTAATATCAATTAAAATGTGTACTTTTATCCTATATGCCCTCATTTTTGTATAAGACAGCTTTTTTTCCTTAATAGTTCATGGAAAAAAGTGTATTTTTCTGTTTTTGTTTGTTTTATCTTTTTTCTTATCTAGGCCCATAAGCCCTCTTCTGGATCAAAACACTCCCGACTTCACTACATTTTGCTCGGTTGGAGAATGGCTACAAGCTATTAAAATGGAAAGATATAAAGATAACTTCACAGCAGCTGGCTACAACTCCCTTGAATCAGTTGCCAGAATGACAATTGAGTAAGCTTAAACTTGTTAAATTATATTTAGGAATGCACTTACCATATAATTCAAGCTTTAGACAGAGAGGTATGTTAAAGATGCCTGAACTACAAAACAAGGGAGAAAAGCATCTCTTTAATAAGTACTCACTGTGTGCCAGCCATTATCCTAAATAGGCCTTCGAACACACAGTATTTTTTAACCCCACAGCAACAGTTTTACTGAGTCCATAGTTTCTCATACATCCAGTCTAAGGCTCTGTGAGCTGAAGTATTTTCCCCCAACTAGCTCAGCTAGTTAAGTGGTAGGTAATTTGTCTCGATAGCCAGTGTTCTAAACATCATTCAGTGAGACTTCCTTTTTCATTAACCACTGTATCATTTAAGTTCCTAACCTTCCTTATTGCTACTAAGGAAGTCTTTTTCCACATTTGTGTCCAACATTAAGAATCTCAAAATTTCAAACCCAATACCAAGAGGCATTGAGACATTCAATAAGATTGTTTTCTGAAGAGGTCAAAGGAAGCTTAATTTCATTTACTGTAACTAAGAGCTTACTTTAACTTACCTTTTGGAAAGTCTGTGATTAATTGCATCAAATTTTTTAACCTTAAGAATCACCGGGTAAAACAACTTTGAAATGGCTATGACCTGGAAGTAAAAATTAATTTTCTATTTTGGCTCCATCACTGAGTATGTGGCCTTATGAAATCTATTAATGTACCCCAAAGTTAGCTTCCTTGGCTGCTGCACAACACTTCTGGGTGATGCAATTCCTGTCAGTCAGACAGTGTGTTTGAAAATGGGCAACAGCGTGCTGAAGACCTGGTTGGGGGCAGGGGAACTGGGAGACATCTGTAATACTATCACTAGTAAATACATAGATATGTTAAATAAAAAATTCTGATAGAAGAAAATGCTTTAAAAACGGGAAATAATCTTGAAGGTTTTATTAGAGGGCTCCACTTTACATGCTGTTGTGTGGAAGGGTTTTACATTTTTAAGATGAGATGAGGGCCATCAATCAGATACTGCTTTCTGACATGTCAGAAAATGGAGTGTACATGAATTTAAGCATGTATATGCCATCTGGTCAAGTTTCTGCCCGTCACCTCGTGGATAGAGCTGGCATAATTATGCCTTTTTCCCCAAAGTTACCAATTACCCTGAAGACTGTGTCTCTCAGCCTTATTAAACCACTGCTATGAAATAATGCAGTGCTGTCATGTTGCTATATTTTAGGTGCTTGAATACCTAAGCTCAATCCTAATTGTTTTTTGCAAAGGTAAAAGTACATACACAGATCCAGTTAGTTTATGTCAGACTTAAGATATTAAACATGGGTAATAGGTATTGTACTCTTTAAATAATATTTATTTCTGAAAGGTAGTCAAGCGGTTGAACTGAAAGTAAGTATACAACCAATAATGTGCTCAGCCTTACTATATAATTAAACTTAGTATAAACATTTTTATGACCATTGACGAATCTTGATCTACTGGAGCCCAGAAGTATCTCTATTCATAAGACATTTTACTTTAATAATTAACATTTTTAAACTTAGGTTCAAGAATACAACATCTCAAATAACATTTCCTAATCTGATCTTAAATTAATAATAATTCTAAGACTGGTCATTTCTTATATAAAATTTCAAATCACTCTGGAAGTAATGTTTCCTGGCAGACTGAGACCGAGCTAATGGTTAGGTTTTCACAGAGGAGAATGCTGAGGCCACGGCCAATCTGACCCGCTGCAGGAACATGATCATGATACCCAAGGGCTCTACGATTAGATACACAGATTATTTAATTAAAGGGTTGATGACAGGCTAGCACCAAATACATTCTTGGCAAGGTACCTAATAAAAAGTGCATTTGTCTTTTTCAGGGACGTGATGAGTTTAGGGATCACACTGGTTGGCCATCAAAAGAAAATCATGAGCAGCATTCAGACTATGAGAGCACAAATGCTACATTTACACGGAACCGGAATCCAAGTGTGATAAGCGTTTCTCCCTTCTGAGGGAGAGAGAGTGGACTGAGAGAACAGTGCTGGCCTTCAGTGTGTGCGTAGAATGCTGCTAGAAGACAGTTGATGTCCTGGGTCCTTCCTACAGTGAAGACGAGATTTAAGAAGCACCTATAGACTTGAACTCCTAAGTGCCACCAGAGTATATAAAAAGGGAATTTAGGATCCACCGCTGGTGGCCAGGAAAACAGCAGTGACAATAAACAAAGTACTACCTGAAACATCCAAACACCTTGAGCTCTCTAACCTCCTTTTTATCTTATAGACTTTTTAAAATGTACATAAAGAATTTAAGAAAGAATATATTTGTCAAATAAAATCATGATCTTATTGTTAAAATCAATGAAATATTTTCCTTAAATATGTGATTTCAGACTATTCCTTTTTAAAATCATGTTTATTCTCCATAAGGACTTTGTTTTAGAAAGTTGTTTATAGCTTTGGACCTTTTTAGTGTTATCTAGGACATATTACTACACTGGGTACTTTTGAAAGAATTTCAAACTTAAAAAAACAAAACATAGCAAGATGATAGATATCTCTATCTGAACATTGGTATCCTTTTCTGTGCCGTTTTATTTGTTTAATCAGTGCTGTTTTGATATGGTTTGCTAATTGGCAGGTAGTCAAGAAAATTCAAGTTGCCAAGAGTGCTGATATTTTTTTAAAAGATTTTTTTTTTTTTTTTTTGTAAAGAGCAGTCAACACTATCTTTTCAATGAAAAAAAAAAGCAATAATGATCCATAAATACTATAAGGCACTTTTAACTGATTGTTTATGGAGGGATTTTAGTAGACAGAATTTACTAAAAAAAATAAAATAAAAATCACAAAACTCAAATTACAGGATTTTGATGGTAAAAAAGGTATGAGACACACTTCACCTAAAGAATCTTGGTGAAGGCAATCTCTGAGAGCAAGAACTATCCAGTGTTATCTAAATAGTGTGAGCACATGAAGATTTTTTTTTTTCAATATCATGCCATTAGGGAATTTAGGAGAAATAGTTGGCCTACATTTTATATCCTGTTCTGTTTAATGCAGTCCAAACACAAGAGGAAAGAATTATGTTTTATATTATTGAATAGAACTCGTTTTACATGTGAAGCATGACACAAGGGGCAGTTCACAATTTTCACCTTGCAAAACAAAGTTGCTACACAGGATATCGGCAGCGCAGTTACAGAAAAGAAAAATTATTTTATTGGTGAACACTGATATGAGAAACCTAAGTGAAAGAATACTTTTGACCATGGAAGAAAGAGGTGAAGGATCTGACCTTTTGGTTTTGTTTTTTTTTTAAGCTTTATTTATTATTCCATATTATTTGATTACGTGTTAGAATTTCACAAGCAATAATTAAATGTGTCTTTATAGCTATTTCAGGAATGTATACATATTGTGAGTACTGCTTTCAAAAGTTATGAAAATCATGAACTACCCCAGAATTGAGCTGTTGTACTTCCAAAGAGAATTGGGCTGTTTGTAATGATTTTACTAGAGGAAGATCCCAGGGATCGGTCACAATTGGTCTTGTTTGATAATGTGGGCAGCCACGAGCAAGCAAACACGAGAAACAAATCCTGTAAATGTTCCTTTGTAAAACTTGTACATTTTATTTATACTGTCTTGTTTTGTACACACATTTCTCTGTAGTGGGCTCTGAATACATTGAAAATGCACTATATTTTTCTATTTTACTTGCAGAGCATCACAAAAGAACAGGTATTTTCAGTGCTACATAATGTGTTTTCCCACATTTAGGACCAAAGATGGCTATAGAAACATTTCAAATGGATTGCTTCCCAAACCCCTCCCTCCCCTCCCCCCCCCCTCTTTTAAGTCACTGTACAGTGTTATTTGATATTTTAATTTATTTTTTTGATTGACTAGAGAAATCATTTTAATTTCACTAAAATGTTTTTTGTCCCTAAGGAAAAATAATCTGTAAAATAAGCTTAATTAGCATAATATAGTCACCTAGACACTTCCATTTGTAATCTTTGTAATAGACTGTAAATATATTTTTGGAACTATGACACAATGTGCTTGAGGGTTATTTTTCAGTGTCTGCAGTGTATACAAGTGTTTATACTCAGTACAGCACTTTACAACTCTAATCAGTAGCATTGGCCTTTGTGAGAATGAATGAAAGAGTTGGGAGTGAGTGTTCTTAATTCCGTTTGGATTCTAGACTCACTGATAATGAAGTTCTTTTCTTGTTCATAGCTTAAGGTGCTTATTTTTTCTATTAAAATTAAATTAACAAAAAGCCATTCTAGAAATAGAAGACATAGTATGGAACATGCAAACGGTGTCTTTCCTGCTTTTTCTAGCACTAGATTTGTAGTTGAGTAGTCTTTCTTGAGTAGAAGGGCAGAAGAAAAGTTTTTTTGAGGTTTTTTTTCAAAAATAACTTTTTCCTTCAGCAATATACCTCATCTGCCTTAAATTTTTTACAGCTCTTTACAGGGAAAGGGGAGAAGGGATGGGAAAGACACACAGCACAACAGGAAGTGTATGATGACATCGCTCTCGTATGTAGATTTCTTTTCCCAGTCAACACTATGATTTTGAAATACATGTATGTGAAAACGATAGCCAGAGAAAAGGAATTAACATTATAATGCTGATTGTAATACTCTTTTTCCAGAAAGAGATGAAAAGGTATATAACAGTAAGAATGTACAACTTGCACCTTGAAATTTTTTTTTTTTTTTTTTTTTTTTTTTGATAAATTAGTGCTCAGGGGAGGAAAAGTAGAGAAAGTATATGTCAAAAATAGAATTCAAAAATTATAAAAATGCAAAAGGAAAGGGCCTCCTTGCTTTGATAGAGCCGCCTTTTTCAGAGCGCGGTCTTCACACTTGACGCATGTTTTGCGTTCAGAACTGAAATGAAAGTAACGTTTGTTACATCTGAATCTAACTCTTTCTCAGCAATTGGTCTGGGCCTTGTTTACTAGAACTGGTGGTTTATTGATTGTCAGAGCACTATTAGTTAAATCATATTGTGTACTTATGTAATCTACATTAGCTAGTACTATTTAGGACTATATTTTTAATTGCTCCTCTTATTCGTGTTTTTAAAGACAATTAAAACGGTGTAATTCACCTCTCTTTTTTTATTTAGGTAATGCTGATATTCTCCCTTTTGTTTCCTGAGTAGCCTAGAACTGTGCTACTCACAGATGTGCATGTTCAAATAAATTACTGATGTGTATTTTTTTGCTATATGTGGAGAAATCATGGGGAACTTGGGGCGAGATGTGCTTTTTGTTGGTTGAATTTGTCCCTCCTTGCCTAAGAATTACTACAGGGGTCATCCTTTTATAAGGACAAACTGCTTTTGAACAGTGTCTTCGATGTATCAAGCACAAATAACTCTTTCTTCAACACGAATCATAAGTCTCTTTTTACCAGCTTAAAATAATAAATGAGTCTATTAGACAATGTAAAGAAAATCCTGTCTCCAGTCATTGGCGGATTCCTTGATGTCCCTCACTCATTCTTTATTTTCTTGCACAATATCATGAAGGAAGGTGTTTAGAGTAAAGGTTTTATTGAACTATTTTAGGAGACCCAGTAGAAAAAAAAGAGAATTAGCATCCTTTATTTCCCCTCATCCTCTTGCACACTGACTTAATTCCACTCTAACCATTTCAGAATAACAAAACAAACAAACAAAGTCTTAAAAGAGCACCATACTGTCAGACATTTTAGTCAAAACCCTTTTTTGTTCGTTTGTGAAACTACAACATGGAACTAACCAGAGTATTTGCATGGGGAAGGTAATATTTTGTCATTGGACGCTGATAAAATTTTTTTTAAAAAGACAGCAACTTGGAAAGTGTTTACACTTAAGACTCTGCAGGATGCAAGCAGGGGGCTCAGAGCAGGTGGGAGCAGTGCTCTCTGAGGGTCTGATGGAGTGTGTTTCACAGTCATGTCAACGTGCGCCTGGACTGAAGGAAATGAACACCCCCTTTCTGCTGCACTACCTTCCTAAGCCCTGCAAGCCCTTCACAACCATCCAAACACGTTTCAGAAAACGAGACCAGGCAAAGGCCGGCTGAGGTGCTGAGGTGCTACCGTGCGCTGTCACACCAGCGGTGCTGAGGCTCAGGCTAGGCTGAACTGAAAAAGATAACCTTGACGTCTCTGCTATTCCTAATGATTCAGCAAGCAGTTCCCTTGTTAAGTTCCCACAGTGCAGCCTGGGACAAGGAAGGGCACGCAAATGAGCTCCTAAGTACTGGGTTCATAAGTGGCACAAAAATACTATACAATCCTACCCACACCCTTTTCCCTCCAAAATGATGAAGCCATTCCTGAGCTCTATCACTAAGTGAAAAGGAGATTTTGTACTTATGCTGATCATGGGTAACCCCTTTTTGTTGAAGGGCTTTGATCTCCTGTTACTCTTTGTTCTATATTGTTCACTGCAAGGAATATTCAGTATCAATTTTGAGGAAAGCTGCTGAAAGCAAGACGCATACAGCAAAGAGGTGATCTGATTTCTAAATGCAAAAGATCATAATTATTGATATTAACAAATGATAACGGACAGTGCACGGTGACGGGCAAGCTTTCCAGCTGCTCAGAAGAGAACAGCATCCTCTGTGAGCCTCATTAAATCCACATGTTGTAAAGGAGGCTTTTTTTTTTTTTTCAAGTTCAGTAATTGGATATAATTAAATTATAGTTAAACAATAAAAGACCTCTTCTGATTGACCTTGAGGTCAAAATAAATGCAATTAATTGATCTTATTAGGCCTATTGGGCAAAGTTTGGCACATAGCAATAAGTAGCTCTAGTCTAGTGTTCGGTGGGTATGTAACAGCATTTTAAGTAGGTGGCAGTAGAAGGGATTCCTAAATTGCCAGCATTTGATGATTTAGGAACAGTAACAAGTGAGATGTTGCCTATTCTAAACCTCCATGGATACCAACTAAAGCTCAGTCAGATATAACTTGCAACATGAATGTCATTATCTTAAATATCGCAGGTTTCTACTGCTGAAGATTGGTTTTGTTTCCCATTTGAAATGCATGGCCTATAGTGGTAGATTTTTTTAATCTATAGTAGATTTTAGCTATAAGAATGCACAATATAGTTTTAAATGTGTTGTTAATCATACATCTTAAAGACACATAGGGAGAAGAGGGTTCATTTGTTTTAAGTAATGTTGGTTCTAGCATAGTAAAGGACAAACATATATTGTTCAGATCTCATCATTTCACTGTGTAACCCACACTATATAAAGTAAATGACTGAAAAGCAAACTCTAGGAAAACAAACAGAAGAAAATAAAACTGCATTTTCAGAACTAGTGTTCATATCAACGGCGTGTTTTAAAATATATTTCCCAACTCATAGAAATGAGGTGAACAATTCAAGAATGCTTTTTATTACATTGTTGGGTAGACTGTACAGCAATTTACAAGAGAATGCTCTAAATTTAACCTGAGATCTCTCTGTCAATTTGTTTGAGACATGCACTATTAACATTGGAAACTGTACAAAATATGAGGCTAAAATATACTCTCTCCAGCCCGAGCTGGTTTGGCTCAGTGGATAGAATGTCAGGCTGTGGACTGAAGGGTCCCAGGTTTGATTCCAGTCAAGGGCTTATGTTGGGGTGTGGGCTCAATCCCCAGTAGAGGCAGGAGGCAGCCGATCCATGATTCTCTCTCATTATGGATATTTCTCTCTCCCTCTCCCTCTCATTTCCTCTTTAAAATCAATTTAAAAATATATTTAAAAATAAACACATAAATAAATAAATAATAAAATGTGCTCTCTCCAGATGAAAGAGAGCCACACCTTCCTTTAGCTCTGACATTAGCACAGGTGTTTGTGGGACGTACTAGGCAGGAGACCTATTGGTCAGAGGCGTTATTGTTATATTGCTATTCCATGTTTTCAGGAGATCTTCCCAGGTGGCACCCAAGCTCCAAATATATTCACCAGAACCCAGTTTCACACAAACAGGAATCTGATGCTACAAACAGGCCTACTTAGCTCTACCTGAGAAGTGAGCAGGGAAATGCATGGGCTACTGCTGCTATGTCACTGGTTCCACTCCTTGTAAAGGACCACCTGTTAGGTTAGGTGTGGTGTGGGACCAGCAGAACAAGAGCAATTAAAGCTCTTCTGATCTACTTACAAAACAAAGCCAGCAAATACCAAATGATATTATCCTTCAGATTTTGAAAAGAAACAAATAATATTGTATAATATATGAAAGTGTACATAAAAGGCATTGCTAGCCCTGGTCAGGTGGCTCAGTTGCTGGGAGCATCAACCCACACATCAAGCAGATTCAATCCCTGGTTGTAGGCACGTTCGAGAGGCAACCCATCAATCTCTCTCTCTCTTTCTCTCTCTTTTTAAACATTTTTTAAAGGCATAGATGAATTACAGGAAATCTGTAGATTCAGGCAAGAGAAACTGAGTTTAAATGGAGAGGCAATGAAGAAATATTAGCAATTGTAACCAGCAAAAGGATGTGGTGGAAATGAAGTTTAAAGAACCAAAGTTTGGCAGTGGTGCCTAAAATATGAACTGATCTCTATTTCTGGATCAGGACATGCTTTCATACCTCTGCTCTCCATTCTCACATTCTCACTCCCTTTTCTAAATGGGGAAATTCCTCTCCTCAAGACACAACTCAAAATTTGTTATTTCCTCCCAAGTCTTCGCTGACACCCAAAAGCCAGTATTTTCCCTCCTATGCGTTGTTTGTGCTGCTGGTGCTGTGCTTATCCCACTGTGCTGTGCCGGATCATTGGCGTGTGTGTCTCGCTCCCACTGGATCAAGTGCTGTTAAAGGGCAGAAAGCCAAGTGGAAATCTTTGCATTATGTCCTTGGGGACTTAACAGTTCCTGGCACTCAGCAGACACTCTGTAAATATTTTAGAATGCTTGAAGTGCAAATTAATTCAAATTGTTTTTTATCTTAAAAGGCAGCGAGGATCAGGTGCTGTGAAGGAGGCAAGGGGTTCAGTGAAGGTGGCCAAAGATGGGTGTTGAGGGGGAAAGTAATTTCAGAGCGCGGCTGAATGCTTCTGTGATAGGCTGGGCAGCAGGTGCCCCCCGGGACTGAGCTGAGGGGCTCAGAGAGGTGGACCTGGGAGAGAGAGGGGGGTGGGAGGAGCTGATTAGTAAACAAGACCAGGACCCATCAAATAGCAGTATCTTCCAGATGTTAAACAGAAGAGGTATCACTGCTTATAAATGACAGAGCAAGATTAAAGAATGGTTTGAAATCAAGTAAAAGGAATTGTACTGGATGAAACAATGGAGAACTATTTACCAATATCTTGTTCGATGAAAATGTCTTTTAAGGAACAGTTATCTGCAGAAATATGTGAGATGCCGTTGTGACTATTTTTAAATTAAGCCTAGACAAGGGAAAATGATGCTTTTTTTCGGTAATGAAAACTTCCCGCATTCCACTCTCCACCTCAAGGTAGTATCAGTGACTCTATGATTAAGTAAAAATATAATAAAGCTGACTTTTGTGATCTGGCCAGTAAATCTGCTATCTACATAGAGGGAAGAGGCAGCACCGTGTCATGGGTGATTTCAGAGTCTGAAGTCAGACATGTGTGACAGATTCCTATCACTACATGTGTCACACGAGGAAAATGATTTTATTTCTCTATCTTTCCTCTTGTCTTACCTGTCAGATAGGCATAAGCAGTGCCCACTTCAAGAAGGG